GCTCTGTCCCTGCCCTGTGTAGACAGCTGTGTCTGCCCCGTTATGTGTAGACAGCTCTGTCCCTGCCCTGTGTAGACAGCTGTGTCTGCCCCGTGGTGTGTGCACAGCTCTGTCCCTGGCCTGTGTAGACAGCTGTGTCTGCCCCGTGGTGTGCGCACAGCTCTGTCCCTGCCCGGTGTAGACAGCTGTGTCTGCCCCGTGGTTTGTGCACAGCTCTGTGCGGACGGGGCTGGGCCTCCTCTGTGCTCCCTTGCACGTGGCCGGTGTGCAGGTACTCCTCGCAGGGAGACGCGACCCCTTGGGAGGCGCAGCGTGATCAGAGAGAGTGCAGCTGGTGAGGTCTGTGTGCGGAGGGCGGGTGCAGAGGGTGGGGCCGCCAGGAGCAGGTGAGTCCTCCTGCAGGGCGTCTGGGGCTGGGGGTGGAAGCAGCAGGTGGGCCAGCCTGGATCCTGGGCAGGTGGCGGCACCGGCAGAACCAGGAGGCCCAAGAACCGTGCAGGGCAGCCCGGGCTGGGGGAGCCCAGAGAGCACGGAGGGGGGTCCCCTCAGGAGATGGGGTGCAGGGGGCCGTCAGGAGGTGCAGGCACAGGGCTCCGTCAGGAGGTGAAGACCACAGCTGAGGAGTCGGTGACCGTGGCGTGTCTGTGTGCGTGTTCCCCGTGTGCGCTTTACAGAGGCGTCTTGCACGACCTGTGAGCAAGAGCGTCACGGTGCGGGCGCTGCGCTGGCAGGGCAGCCGCTGGCACAGAGCCGACAGGAGCTCAGCGTGGCAGGGCAGGGTGCGTTTGCGTGACCGAGGGCTGTGCCTCTGGCCCCTGCTCTGCGGCGTTTGCCAGTCTGAGGGTCGACCCTCAGGGTGAGATCAGGAGACATTCGCTCCGGAGTTGGCTGTCCCAGGTGTGCGGGGGCCGGGCTGTGCCTGGCGTCTGCCCTGGACAAGAGAGGTGGGACTCGTGCACCTGTGTGCTTCCCACGCCAGTACCGCACTTTTTAATGTCACCGCGTGTTGGAATGCGTGTCCCCGTCCCGTCCTCCAGCCTCTGTTTGCAGAACGTAGAGGGTCCGAGGCAGACTTCTGCGTCCTTGGTGACGCTGAGGACACGGGACAGGTGGGTGGGTAGGCCGTGGGGGAGGGGACAAGAGGGACGTGGTCCTAATGAGAGTTCCAGAGAGAGCTGGGCGGGGGCTGGGGGTGGGCGAGCTTGAATGAGAAGGGAAAACCGGTCTGAACGGGCCGCACACTGCGATTGCCACCACGGACGTTCTGGGAAGGGCCGAACAGTGAAGTCGGAGGGTCCCAGTGGGGGGCAGGACGGGCAGGGACAGCGCAGAGGGTTTCCAGGACAGTGACACTGTCCTTCTGACGCTGGCACGGTGACGCCGGTCCTTACACGTTCCTCCAAGCCCGCAGAGGCACACCGCCAAGCGTGAACCCCAGTGTGAACTGTGGGCTCAGGTGATGACAACGTGTCCGTGTTGGTCCATGACGTGTAACGAGTGTGCCCCAGTAGTAACGCAGGCGTCCCCAACGGGACACGGGCAGGGAGGCGGGAAGGGAACGCTGAGTGTTTCTGACGCTCGCGTGGGGGGCCGTTCTCAGCCCCCTGCCAAGGAAAGACCTGTCGTCTCCCCGTGGGCCTCACTCAGCACGGGGGCCTGCTGGGCGGGGGCCCCAGGCCAGTGAGGGCCGCTCCGGGTCTCCCTGCTCATTTGCAGGACTTCCGTGTTTTCCCGTTTTTAAACAAAGTCTGAATCTGCGCTCTGCACTCGGCCACATTTTCCACGGGGGCAGGGAGCGGGACCCGTTAGCTTGGCACAGAGACACTCAGCACGCCGTGGTTAAACAGCGAATGAATGAATGAATGAATGAATGGAACAATGAATGAAGAACTGCCAGGCGAGGGGGACAGGGACAGGCAGAGACACACGAAGGCCACCTTCTCTTCAGGGGGGTTAAAGTCAGGGACTGTAACTACCTTCAGGGACACTGATGACCGAACGACGTGTGTAACTGTAACTATATAACTGTTAATAAACTGTAACTACGTAACTATTAATAAACTGTAACTGTAACTATGTAACTATTAATAAACTGTGTAACTATGTAACTATTAATAAACGTCAGGGGCTTCTATCACTAAAGACGCAAGGACACATACATACGCATTTACATCATCCCACCTAACAGGTCCGCTTTTGCTGTATTTATTTTTTTCTGTTAACCTTAAGCTTACTGGTCTTACTCCTGCAAGCCTGTCTTCTGCGAGCCTTCTTCCGCCTCCTGCGCTACTTTTCTTAAGCTTGCTAGTGTGTTCTCTGCAGGCCTTTTCAGTGCATGCCGGTGAGCGCAGGCTAGACCCTGAACTCCTGTTCCGCGTTGCCGCTGTGCTTGTGTTAACGGCTGTCTTAGTTTTGAGTGGACCCGCGATTCTCCCGGAATCCGTCCCCAGACAGGCTCTTCCGGGCTTTATGCTGGCGGCGTCCAGCGTGGGCTCAGGTGCAGTCGGCTTCCCTGCCAGACGGGGGAGAAGGTGGGGGCACCTGGAGCGTTAGTTCATCCTCGTGTAAAGCTCCGAGCCCACCGCCTCCCACGGCCCCTTCTTGTCTCGTTCTCACTGCGATTGCAGACAGGCGCAGTTACCAAGGTGTAAAACGGCACAGAAGACACAAAAGCGTGAATACCCACACTCTCCCATTCTTGAAAAGAAAACATTAGAGTACCCATTGTGGTTTAGTTCTATCTTTCAGACGCTGACAGTCTAGAGGGGGTGTGGGCAGTATGGGCAGACCCCTGGTTTGCAGCTTGCT